AATAGGCCCTTGCGATATCCCTCTATCCTGGCGGTGGTAAGAGAACCGTCAGAATTGAGGGATTACCTGTCGGGCTGCTCCATCTATTGGTGGGTAGCGGCACCTGCTGGCAACCGGGTCCAGTGTCCCATTGCTACATCGTTCTATACAGAGATTGAATTTTGTTGTTTCCCGGGGCTGTGGTTATATTGTTGGCTATTCTTGAGGCTCCGTCATCCTGTGCTGTGTGGTTTCAAAGGGGGCAAACTGTAGTGCTGTGTGGTTAAAGGGGGGCAAACTGTTGAAGGCAGGCTGTTGATTTTATTCCGACAGCCGTCAATTTTTTTTGCCTTTCGACAATGGTTTGGCGAGGCCCTTGAAAAACAGATACAGATCTCATAAGTTTTAAAAGATGTCATAAGTTTTGAACAAACCCAGATCATATACACAGGTCAACCTTCAACAAGCTCAACAGAACCTTGTTCCCACGTCACGCAGCCCAAATCCCGCCGCTACCATGGCCAAAGCTTCCCAGAAACCTACCGAAGCTTCCCAGAAACGACAAAGTAGGTCCCTCTACCAGTTTGACGGGCACTGGTCTGTGGTATCGCCTGTTTGCCACGGACTTTTTTTTTTGACTCCTAGAGGGAGGGGAATGGTAGTCTGCACCGGAAGTCGATGCAAACACAAGGGGTAGTATGCTTTCTTCAAGCTAAAAACATTAAAAAGGATTTTTTTTTTTTGATACTGCTCTTTTTTCCCTTGCGATCACGATGCAGCACTGAGCGAACCTTTTTTTGCGACCGATGGGACTGACGTTTTATTCCTGTCTCATATGATGATACTGTTTTTTTTCTTCCAATAAGGACGCAGCACTGAACAAACTTTTTTTTGTGACCAATTCGGACTGGAAAGATAGATAAAGTTAAAGTTAAAAGTAAAAACTTGTTAAACGTAATTTATTCACGACCCAGTTGTTAAACGTAATTTATAATTTATTCACGACCTGGGTAAACATAATTTATTCACACATCACGACCCAGTTGTTAAACGTAATGTATTCATGGCCCCTGGCTCGTTCGACACTCCTCGGGCGTGTAAACTCCCCGAGGAATTGTTCGTTCCACCTATGCTCGGGATGCAGTCGGAAAGAAAAAAAGTGAAAACACCCCGAAGGAAATTCCTTGGGCTCCGAGGATTCCCCGGCCATTTCTTCCTTTTGCCCGAGGGACCTCACGAGGTCCCTTGGGCAAAAGGAATCCGCGTTTCACGGAGAGGAGCGGGCACATTGGTAGAGAGACGTTACAACCGAGAATCTGGATCGTGGCGGCACCCTATTGGCTGAAGGCCTCAAACACATTTGATTTTTTTCTTTTTTCGGGCGACGTCCCCGAGGACAGGTGGAACGATGGCGGGAATTTCCTTGAAAACCCCCAAGGAAACTTCCTTCGGCCCCGAGGACGCCCCAAGGAGTGTCAAACGAGCCCCCCAGTTGTTAAAGGTAATTTATAATCTATTCACGACCCGGGTAAAAGTAATTTATTCACGACCCAGTTGTTAAACGTAATTTATTCACGATCCGGGTGCGGGTGACCGATGGGCCTGGAAAGATAGATATAGATAGTAGTATCATCATAGTATAAAGTTAAAAGTTAAAAAAGTCATTTTATAACCAGTCAAAATCTTGGCTGATTCTTCAAATTTGGTCACAAGTTAAAGTAAAAGTTGTTCAAAGTAATTTGTTCACGACCCGGGTGCGGGTGCATAATTGTGTTCACGGGTAGATATGGAATTTGGAACTTGGAAGTGCAGTTTCAGGTGCCGGTGAGCGATGGTTGTCCCGTGAGCAGGACTTAGTACAAATCTTTGACAACTTGTTTCTTTCCCCATCCCCCCCCCTCCTTTTTTTTTTCCTGAGCAGGCTTGAGACGGAAAGCAACAAGGACTACGGTTTCGAGTCTTTTGACGCTTTGTTTTTTGTTTTGTTTTTCACGCACCTTTTTTTTCGCTGAGCAGGCTTGAGACGCAAAGCCACTATGGCTCTATCGGGTGGGCGGTGGGAGGGACACTGGGCTGTGCATTGGGCACAGGAGGGCGGCATTCGACCAATACGGTTGCTGTTATCGGCGATGGCGCCTTCCAAATGACGTCTCAAGAATTGTCAACGATGATTCGTCTGAATGTACCTGCAATCATCTTCATTCTGAACAATGGCTGGTACATCATCGAAGAACTTCTGCATCCTAATGGACTTTACAACCAGATTCAGAATTGGGATTATGCGCAGCTCGTGGAAGCATTCAAAGCCTCGCAACCGAAGGGAAACAGCCGCGGGTTTCGTGTGACAACCAAGGAGGTGAGCGCGACTGTGTGGGGGGCGAGGCTGAGTAAAATGAATCTATGCATAATATTTGCATATCATATGCCAAAAAAGGTTCGCTCAGTGCTGCGTCGTGATCGCAAGGAAAAAAAAACAGTATTCAAAAAGATAAAAGGCTGGGATATTTAACAAATTGAAAGTGGAAACATGTGCTAAAAGTATAGGTGGAGGTGGAATTGAAAAAGCAGCAGTAATTCGTTGACGACGCCATTGACAATGTGCCAATCTGTCTCTATTAGCTTTCGTTCGTTTACACGTTCGTTTAGGACGAAGAGAATCTCAAGAAACTGACATTTCATTAAAACTGACATTTTTTTCTAAATTCACGAAAGTGGACTTAGTCAAAATTTCATTGCTCATCGGGTGAGAAAGTGGTTATCTCACTTTGTCCATCTGATGTACCTCAACGAAAAGTACCGTTAACATACATCTGATGGTCAGATCATCGGGAGTCACCACGACACCCGATGATCTGATCATCCGATGTCATGGGACAAAAAAACACTGAAAAATGTTGTTTTTTGGTGCGCTCAATTTCGTGAATTTAGAAAAAAATGTCAGTTTTAACGAAATGTCAGTTAAGATACTCAATGTAACTAGACAAGCTGCAAAAAAGAACATAAAAGAACATAATAGTTCTGGAAGTTGAGCTTTGGGTGACAACTGAGGAGGTGAGTGAGATTGTGTGAGGGAGACTAAGTACAATGAATACTCATCCTTGCTTTTCCTTGCTTCTCCTTGCCCTCCCTTTTTCGGACCCCCTCCAATGCACTAGCATGCATACGCGGGTTATGGGGCTGCAATTTGTTCTGGCCTTTTCAAAGTTGCACAGTGCTCAAATTGCCATTTTGTGTTTTCGTTTTTGCCGTTTTGAACGCATCCACAATCGTTTTGACAAAAAAAAAAAGAAAACACTGCGATTTTCGTTTGTTTTTTTTTGGCCTTTTCAAAGTTGCACCGTGCTCAAATCGCCATTTTGTGTTTTCGTTTTTGCCGTTTTGAACGCGCCCACAATCGTTTTGACAAAAGAAAAAAGAAAAAAAAGTGTTGACAGTAGCTACTATCCAGTAATGAGAAAGTCTGTATGAGTAAGTAAGCGGGGCGGGTTTAAAATGCTGGGCCACAGTGGTGGGGACCACCACTTTGAGTGGCCCATTGTTCTAGTATGATGATTGATGTGGCAGTGGTGTGAGCTGCCGATTGTGAAGTTGCAGATATTAAGTGAGCTGTTACGATCCTGGTCATTTCCCAAGTGCAAATTCACAAGGAAAGACAATGCCGCCCAATTGTGAATGATATTAAACTCAATCGCGATGCCACCCAATTGCGAGTGAAATGAAAGGTACTTGCAAAGAGATAGAGACCAAAGAAGAAAAACGAAAGAAGAAGAAGAAGAAGAAGAAGATGTACACCAGCAAGACCAATGACAAATCTCCCCTCCTCTCTCCATCTTCCTCCTCATCTTCTTCGCCGATCTTATTCTATTTTGCTGAATAATAAGAATAACAACGAGTGGTTGAACGAGAATCAATATCCGAATTACCCTCTTACTGCCAGCACAACAATTATAGATCCACCATAGCCATAGCTTCATCTTCTCACAGCCAAGGCTATGGTGGACTACTGAGGGTTCTGCCCTCTTGCGCCTCTTGTGCAAAGGACAACACAAAGCAGCTATGTGGCTGCTCTTCAGGCCGCCATGCCCGACTCTGCCTTGAGCTTCCTTGGTGCCGCACTACCCCAACTGGGGCCCTCCAAATGCACCGCCTATCAGGGTGACGAAGATGGTGTCCACCATAGCCAGGTAGGTACCTCGCCACTCTCCTCCTTCGCCCCCCTTCTTCCTCCTCCTCAGGATGGGGTGCTCACCATAGCCAGGCTGAGCGCCCAGCTCCTTTGTTGACCTCCCAGCAGCGCTCCAAGTCCAGCGCTTGGCTAAAGCAGTATGTCGCCCAACCTTGCACACCTCAAATGAGGAGGAGCTACTCACTCTCCTGGAGATATAGCGGCCTACTTGCCTCTTGGGCGGCGTGCGGCCTCCAAGCAACCGGTACCTCCTCCCTTTTGGAGGGAAATGTCATTGCAGGCTCTGATACTGTCTGTACAGGCCCTAGACTCGGCTACTTGGACGGGTACCGGCCTACCTGTCTATCTAGCCTACCGCTACTGGGCCTCCAAAAATGCCGACTTTTTGTTTTCTTCTGCTTGGCCTCAAGTCCTGACACATCTACCACTACTCTAGTTGTACCGGCCTACCTGCTACTGAGTGTTGTCTTCTTCTGTTCAGCCTAGAGTGTACCCAACACCTCTACAACTACTTGAGTGGCTCTAGTGTTTTTTTTCCCGCTGCTGTTTTTTTTTTCCCGCTGCTCTAAGTGCCGAGGGCCTACCCCTGTTTTCCCCGCTGCAACCCTCAAAAGTCATGGCCATAGGTAAGTACTGGCCCCGCACGGCCTCCAAACGAACACGTACCCTTGCGGGTCACGCACACACTCAGGCCGACAAGCACTCAGACAGGCACGCAGGTCATCAAGCACGCACACACACAGACTTAGAAAACTCAGCAGAATGCGGGAATCTCAGCAAGGCGTGGACTCCAGCGGCAAATCCCAGAAATCAGCAGTGCTCTCGGTTTGTGGCTTGGCGGGKCATTACAGAGCGCACATATTCATACTCCGGCTTTCCTGAGTGTACCTGGTCATAACTTTGGCCTGATTCAGTTGCAAAAGTCCTGGCGTGAGTTGCTATGCTCTCTCTAGTTCTTGACTGTCAATTGTGTGCATGTGCTATAGAAAAATCGGATGCGTTGGGTTCATCAATGAGCACAAAGTCGCACCGCGAGATACCATGAGCAGATGGTGGTTATAGATGCTAGGCGTAAAACATAAAGTAGTAAAAATTAAAAATAGTAAAATACAGCCAACATGAATACACCCCAGAAGAAAAGGCAGATACACAGAATTCCGATTTTTCTGGTAGCGCTGTACGTTTATAAGGGTTGAGCTCCACTGCCGGTTTGTCGAGCAATTCCTTTTCTTAATTTAAGAACGGCGACGCTCTTCCCATAAGAATTAGTGGGGCCCCACCTGCCGGCCCTTCCGGGACTCTTACGGAAAAAGTGCCACGCAGCATGGGCAGTTTCTCCTCTCCATTTCCACAGAGGCCAGAAAATAATTATCCAAATGCATCAGGCCATGCGTTTGGATAATTACTGTGGCCTGACGCATTTGGATAATTATTGTGGCCTGTTCCAGGCGAACCTCTTTAAATACATGAGGCTTGCCCTACTTATGGTAATATGGAGAATGAGGTGCTCAGCAGAACACAAAGAAGGTAACTTCGTTTTCCATCAAGCCAAACAAGAACTGCTCGAAGTGATCAGAGCAAATTTGCTGAGAGCTAGCCAAAAGTTAAAAAAAAA